TCGGACGCTCAACCGACTGAGCCACCCAGGCGCCCCTAAATGTAGTTCTTGATGGAGAAATGGATTTTATGAAATTCAATGCACTCCTTCTGTAGAACAGTGGTGTGATATTAAATATACCATGTATAAAATAATTCTGTATTTAAAAAAACCTCATAAAAATTTCAATTTTAGACATTTGTAGTAACAGTAAGTTTGAGAACAATGAATCGATAGTCTACCCACTTTTTCATAGCCACGGGAACTGGTTGTGGGTGTTACCTAACCTATCCATGGATCACTTTTGGTTTCCTAATTAGTTTTAGGCAATTTTAACAATGATTCACTCTATTTTTTCCCAGGAGTTTTCCTTTGTAACTATACAGTATAACATCTATTCAATTTAGTTGTTCTCTGGGAAACGGCTGGCGAAGATCAGATTAGCTCATTTGGGAGACACTATGAAATAGCCACTCAATTAAATATAACTGTCACCATTATAATGATGACCATGTAGCAATGCAGACATTTATAAGAAAAATTAAAATTTAACATTATGTATTTTTTTTTAAGTTTTTTAACGTTTATTTATTTTTGAGTGAGAAAGAGAGAGAGAACATGAAGGAGGGGCAGAGAGAGGGAGACACAGAATCAGAAGCAGGCTCCAGGCTCTGAGCCGTCAGCACAGAGCCCGACGCGGGGCTCGAACTCACGGATCGTGAGATCACGACCTGAGCCGAAGTCAGACGCCCAACTGACTGAGTCACCCAAGTGCCCCTAACATTATGTATTTTTTAAGACCATAACTATGCAAAATCATACACTATGAAGACAATTTTGATCAACCATACTGCAGTGAGCCAGGCTCACTAATCAGGCATCATCTAAGAATCATGGACTTCCAGGAGGAGAGGAGTAAAGCAGGTGTGAGCTACCCCACCAGACATGGCCTCTCTCTTCCAACTCTTGGGAGATTAATATGCCGTATGCCAAGAGCCCACTAATTTATCCTTTGATAATTTGGCTTATTGTTTACAACTACTGCAGTAATAGTTGTTCCTTATTTTCCCTTTTGGTGTTTTATTATTTCCACAACATAAAAAATCAATGTGTCAATAAATAAAATTAAAAACAACAGATTCCCTCACATTTTTTGATGTCCTTCGAAGAAGTTTACACATTCCCAAAGATGTCTCAGGTGAACATTACTATGTCACCTGGGCTAATCACTTAAACTGTCCACACCTGTTTCCTCATCTGTGACAGGCGTACTCTGGGCTTCGCCTACATCCCACGGTGGCTGTATGTGAGAAGCAGCATGCACAGCAGGGTGGGAAAACAGGATTTAATTTTTTAACGTTTATTTATTTTTGAGAAGAGAGAGAGCATGAGCGGGGGAGCAGAGAGAAAGAGGGAGCCACAGAATCCGAAGCAGGCTCCAGGCTCTGAGCTGTTAGCACAGAGCCCGACGTGGGGCTCGAACTCACAGACCCCGAGACCATGACCTGAGCCGAAGTCGGCAGCTTAACCGACTGAGCCACCCAGGTGCCCCGGGAAAACACAGGATTTAGAGCCATGTAGTCAAGAGTTCTAATTCTGGCTGTGAACCTTACTGTGTGACCTCAAGCAAGTTATAGAACTTCTCAGAGCCTCAGTATGAAGTGAGCACTCTCCACCATACAAGGGCATATGCACACAGGGCCCCTAAAACAGCACCTGATACACAACAGACGCTCAAGAAATGGTAGCTATTAGAACAGTGCTTTGTAAACCTCAAAGCACCTTGTGCAAATACAGCATGCTCATACTGAAACAGAAAGGAAGGGGGAGAAAAGATGTGAACAGGATCAGCAAGGGAAGTACAGAACAGGGAGTGTGTGAACACAGTAGATGTGCTTGGGGAGGAGTGAGTGGCATGGCGTGGTTGGAGGGTGGGACTCCTGAGGAAGTCAGTCTGGTTTTTATTCTCCAGAACATGGAAACCCCATTGAAGGCATTCTGAGAAAAATATAACTGGGCAAGACCTATGCTTTAGGAAAATAACTGGAAATGTGGAGGATGGTATGAAAAGGAGAAAAGCCAGAGGCAGAACAACATGTTGAGGAGACAACAGGGCACGAAGTGGAGCTAGGCCAGTGAGGCCGAGGCAGAGGGCTTGGTCTGGGATGCATGGAGAAGAGCCGGGAAGCTGGTAAATGGAGCCAAGTGACCTGATGGGAAATCCAGCACAGTGTGGGTACAAAGGAATGGAGAGGGAAAAGCAACATTTAGATGATCTTCATCAACAAAGACAGGAGAAGGGAGGTTCAATATGATTCCAAGGGTTTGAGTGGGGGGCTAGGAGAATGTTAATTCCACTGTTGAAGGCCCCGGGAAGATAAGAGTACAGTTCTGGACCAGAGGGGTTGAAGGAATTTGAGGAGACATCCAACAGAGACCCCAGACGACAGACCTGGGCTTCTTTTGTAGATTTGGGTGTGTCATCACCAGAGGGATGAGAATTGAAACTAAGGGGCCTGAGATTCAGAGAGTTTAGGCCCTCCAAAATATTAAGTTACAGGAAAGAGCTTTCATAAATGTAAACACGTACACAGGACTAGTAAGAGGACACAGGTTGGCTAAAGAAAGGTTCCACCAGCAACTTGCAAAAAGATAATATGGTGTGAAAATGAGAATAATATCTATACAAATCTATTAACTTACTAAATTTATAAATTCTACATTAACCCATAGAAATAAAGCTAATAAAATGGTTGGGTTCCTTTGGAACCCAGAAATTAGTATAGTCAAAACTCACTGCTTCTAAATTTCTGCTATGAAATTAAACAAAATCTTCTTTTCATACCAATACATATCCCAAAGAATTCAAAAATTTCAGTTTATTTACATATTGTATATCTCAAAAGAAGTTGGGAAAAAAAATGAAGTTTTAACAGGAAGTCAGTGAATTCTCATAGCTCTGCTGGTCTCTAGCATTTGGGGAGAGGGAGTCGTGGAGTCCTCAGAGATTGGAATCTTGATGACAGAACTTCAAATGTTCCAGTCACTTGCCAAGGAAGTGCCATACTTGCTCTGTGTCTGAAATGGTGGAAGGGGGTGTCAGGGAAGGGGTAAACAGCAAGGGAGAGAGGAAGAGATGGAGGGAAGAGAAATTTCAGTGACACCTTGAGGAAGTATTTAGGCAGATAAAAACAATCATGAGCTTGCTATGACACACTTCCCTATTTAAAGTTACTCCCCTTTAAATCCCAAGTTCTCTCATTTGGCTCAAACCTTAAATAAAACTGGGCTAAACACTCCGGAGCCTTCCCATTTTATTCCCTACATTTTTCTGGATCATTTTAGTCTCTACTGAATAACACAGAAGTTAGTGCCCTAGCGTCAGCATGAAAGGTCTAGGGAAAAAACCCTGTATGGTAAAATTTGACTGCTTGTCAAATATCCAAAAAATGGAATAGTATTGCAGAGAAGCAATCTGTTAGTTTCCCATATAAGGAATATAGCTTGCTTTCCCATGAAATGTCTATGGATTTGTTCTTTTCTAAACACCGTAGAACTTGACAGAGTAAACAGTTCTCATTTTTCCTCCAATTTTGCGAGCTGAATGCTCTTCTAATGTTTTATATTAAAACAAAGGGCCAAAAATTTTGCAAAGTTCCAAAGACAAATGATATGTGTCTATGCTTGTATTTTGAAATTTTTACTACAGAACATTTTTACTTATTTCTCAAAATAGCTTCAGATAATGGCAACAAAAAATAAAGTTATTTTCCATCCTACGATAAACTGTGATTTTAAGATATTTATTTAAAATGAATGATTCATTAAAGTGACAAGATAATTAAAAGAATCTTCCAAATTCAGATTACCTGGAGTCTCATTAAATTTATCAGAATTACCTGAAAACTTTCAGTACTTCACCAAAAGTCGCTAACATAATCAAACTATTGTCTAGCCTAAAAGCAGTAAATGTGCTCCTTTTCATTTTTTTAAATTACAAAATAAATGATTTCATTTGAAAATTTTAGTGACTATTTAAAAAAGTTATTTTACTTGGTTTATATAACTTTAATTAATCTATTGTGCTTTTTTGTCTGGTTTCCACCACTATAAACACATCTAGCTCAAGAACCAAAATATACCATACCTTCTTCATTACTTTCCTTATTCAGTGACGAGGACACCTGGAAGATAAAGACAGAGATGAATCCCTGTTATGAATATTTAGATGTGGAAACTACGCCCAGAACGTTTGTTTTGTTTTGTATTTTTATGGAACTATACAACAAAGTTTACAAGCAACGGTTCTCTAACCTGAAAAAAGGAAGTACTTCTCTTTGCCTTTAATTATCACTGCTTCTTCTTTTGGATAAACAAACCACAGACTCAGAGTCAAACAGAAAAAGCATGCTCGAAAATATTTTTCTCATTAACCCATGGGAACTACTGAGAATGTGAAGAGAAGAGAGAGAGGTTTCCTTTCAGTTGTTTCTTTGGCCAAGGACTAGGGGACGCAAACCCAACACACACATTCATGGATACGTCAGGCACACAAACACACATTGTGGAATTTATTTAGCTGTCTTCCAGAGCATTTAAATTAATTTTTCTGTTCATTTCCATGACTGGGCCAAGATTTTTAGAACAGATGCAGTATAATCTGTGATAGACAAGTTTAAAAGAAAAGCTTTTCTGAGATACCAGATTTTTTTCATAATTAAGAACAATACATTTTTTAGTTCTTTTTTTTCTTTCATCTTGTTTTATTGAGAGATTCCCTCATCCACACAGAGGAATGCACAAAGCCCAAGGATAAACATCTATGCAGTCACCACCCAAGTCGAGAAATGGAATAGGCCAGGCCCTTCCCCAGTCATAACCTCTTTTCCCCTAGGGATAATCACTACCCAAATTTTGTAACACATTTCAGATTTCAAATTTAACAATCAACTTCTAATTCTAATTCTCTGAATTTGCTCATCCTAAGTAGGAAAGATCTGCCTCTAACACTTGAGGTCTGGGGCAAAGGTACAAATGGAAGACCACATACCACACATGGTAATACTTAAAAGTTCTAAATCAAGCTAACAAAATGATAAATTGAACATAAAGTATGTTCCATTCTATTATCTTGATAAATATACTTTTGTGATGACTTGGAAGCCTTGCTTGGCATTCTAGACACCTCAGAGACTGCCTGAACATAGCCGAGTAAGGAAGAGAGGCACAGGGCCCTCAACCTACCCCACTTCTCTTCTTTCCTCAGGCTCCAGTCTGTATTGAGGGCCTCATTTGTGCAAGGGCAGAAACTCCAGGCCACAAACCTACACACTCCCTTCCTCCAAACAGCCACCCACTGGCCCCTGCAGAAATGATGCAAGCAAATGATTCACACAGGAATGAGCACAGACCTGGGGAAATGCCCACAGAGGCTGTAGGAACAGGCTTGTAGCAACCTGGGCAAAGAATTCCAGGGTCTTGAGTAGCTAGACGGTGGTATGGAACGGGGGCGCTTGGCTCCTGGTGAATGCACAACTATGGTCCCCTGGTCTTGTGGGAAGGGATGTAACTGGATGAAGGCCAAAGCAGGACCCTCTACAAAGCAGAATGCAAAGTAGGGCTCTCCTTGCTTAGGTATAAGGGTACTACTAAGATCAAGTCAGTAAGGAAGAAAAACTTAAATTTCAGCAATATTAAAATAGTCCCTGTAATGATTAATGTGTTACCTTGGAGGGTGTTTTTAGCTGAGATTACCATTTAAATTGGTAAACTCTCAGTGAAGCAGACTGCCCTCTGTAATGTGGGTGGGCCTCAACTAATCAGTTGAAGGTGTGAAGAGAACAAAAAGACCAACCTCCCAAGCAAGAGGAAATTTTCCAGCGAACTGCCTTTGGACTTCCCCTGCATCACTGGCTCCCCTCTTGTCTCCAGCTTGCTGGCCTACTCAGATTTTGGACTTGTTAAGCCTCCATACTCACTTTTTACATATATCTACATATCCTATTGTTTCTTTGGAGAACCTTAATATATTCTCCTGAATCATAAATGGTTTCAAGTTATTTTTCCCTCTACTCTTTACGAAAAAGGCCAAATATGCTTTATTTTCGGTCACAGAAAAGTCAGGTAACAATGTAAATAAATAAAGAAGACCTCTGTATAATGTCATGTAAAACCTCCTTGAGATTCCCAAGTACTTCAAAAAAACAAAAATTCTATTCACCTTCCTCGCACAGAGAAAATGCTTAATCATGGTTGGTTTTGAGGATGATAGAACTTATGTAAAAACTGGGTATGAAAGCACCACCACAGTATAAAAATTATACTGAGAGTAGGCCCTTGGGATTTGATGGCTCTGTTTTACTACACAGATTATAAAACAGAGTAACCTGTTTATTTCTTGGAAATTGGTATGCTCAATCAACAGTGCAGGACATCTATCACAAAGTTTGTTGGAAAGTTAGCTGTTTAGATTTCCTGTTTAGAATGGGCAGCTGTTTCTTGCTGGAGCTGCCAAACATTTCAGGGGAAGAAAACGTATGGTATACATATGTACATCAGAGACATGGAGAGTTTGGTTCCAAACCACTGCAATAAAGCAAATACTGCAGTGAAGTGAGTCAAATGAATTTTTTGATTTCCTAGTACGTAAGAAAGTATGTTTGCACTATAGTCTATTAAAATACAGTGTGCAATAGCATATCTAAAATAACAATGTACATACCTTAATTTAAAAATTACTGAGAAAAAATGCTAACTATCACCTAGGTTTTCAGCGAGTCAGTCTTTTTGTTGGTGGAAGGACCTGCCCTCACATTGCTGGCTGCTGACTGATCATGGTGGTGGTTGCTGCAGGTTTGGGTGGCTGTAGCAATTTTTAAAACTAAGACAACAACGAAGTTTGCCACATTGATTGACTCCTCCGTTCATGAATAAGTTCTCTGTAGCATGTGATGCTGTTTGATAGCATATTACCTACAGTAGAACTTCTTTCAAAACAGGAGTCAGTATTCTCAAACCCTGCCCCTGGCTTTACCAACTGAATATATGTAATATTCTAAATCCTTTATTGTCATTTCAACCATCTTTAAACATCTTCAGCAGGAACAGATTCCATTTCAAGAAAACACTTTCTTGGCTCATCCATAAAAAGCAACTCATCCATTCAACTTTTATCATGAGATTGTAGCAATTCAGTCACATCTTCAAACTCCACTTATAATTCTAGCTCTCTTGCTATTTCTACCACATCTGTAGTTACTTCCTCCACTGAAGTCTTGAGCCCTCAAAGTCACCCATGAGGGTTGGAATCGACTTCTTCCAAATTATGACTTCTTCCTATGAATCATAATGTATTTAATGATGTCTAGAATGGTGAATCCTTTCCAGGTTTTCAATTTACTTTGCCCAGATCTGTCAGAGGAACCACTTATCTATGGCAGCTACAGCCTTATGAAATTTTTTTTTTAAGTTTTTATTTTGAGAGAGAGACAGCCTGAGTGGAGGAGGGGCAGAAAGACAGAATCCCAAGCAGGTCCCGGGCTGCCAGTGCAGAGCCAGATGTGGGGCTCAAACTCATGAAACTGTGAAATCATGACCCAAGCCGAAACGAAGAGTCGGACACTTAACTGACTGAGCCAGCCAGGTCCCGTGAAATGTATTTCTTAAACATTAAGACTTGAAAGTCGAAATTACTCCTTTGATCCATGCACTGCAGAGTGCATGTTGTGTCAGCAGACACGAAAACAACATGAATCTCACTGTATAGCTGTTGGCACTCTTGGGGGACCAGGTGCATTGTCAATGAGTGATAATATTTTGAAAAGTCTTTTTCTAAACAGTAGGTCTCAACAGTGGGCTTAAAATATTCGGCAAACCATATTGTACACAGACGTGCTGTCATTCAGGCTTTGTTGTCCCATTTACAGAACACAGACAGAGTAGATTTAGCCTAATTCTTAAGGGCCGAAGGATGTGGGGGATGGCAATAAAGTCACCAGCTCCATTAGCCTATTCTTTGAAACTCTGAAAGCCAGGCACTTACTTCTCCTCTTTGGCTATGACAGTTTTAGATGGCAGCATCTTCCAAAAGAAGGCTGTTTAATCCACACTGAAAATCCGTTGTTTAGTGTAGCCACTCTCATATTTTAGCTACACTTTCTGGGTAACATGTTGCAGCTGCCTTTACCTTTAACTTCTGTGTTATGGAGAGGCTTCTTTCCTAAAACCTCATGAAGCCACCTCTGCTAGCTTCCAACTTTTTTTCTGAAGCTTCCTCAGCTCTGAATTTACAAAATTCAGAAAAGTTAGGGCCTTGCCCTGGATCACGCTTTAGCTTAAGGGAATGTTGTGGCTGGTGTGATCTTCTATCCAGACCCCTCAAACTTTCTGTTTCATCAATAAGGCTGTTTTGCTTTACCATTTGGTTGTTCACGGGAGTAGCCTTCAAGAACTTTTCCTTTGTGCTCGCAATTAGGTTAATTTTATGAAGCGAGAGGCCTACCTTTCGGCCTGTCTTGGCTTTCAACATGTGCATTCTCCATGAAGCTTTATCGTTTTTAACTTCTGATTTAAAATGGAAGATGTGCGACTCTTCCTTTCACTGGAACACCTGGAGGCCACTGTAGGGTTATTAATTGGCCTAATTTCAATATTGTGTTTCAGGCAATAGAAAAGCCTCTCTATGGGCCAGATGGGAACAGCCAGACAGTGGAACAGTCAGAACGCATATAACATTTATCCATTAAGTTCACCATTTCATATGAGTGTGGTTTGTGGCACCCCAAAACAATTACAAGAGTAATATCAGAGTTCACTAATCACAGATCACCACAACAAATGTAATAATAAAAAAAAGTCTGAAATATTGTGAGAATTACCAAAATATGACACAGACACAAAGTGAGCAAATGCTTTTAGAAAAACGGCACCAATACACTTGCTCAACACAGTTACCACAAACCTCAACGAGTACGATGTAGTATCTGTGAAGCACAATAAAGTGAACTGCAATAAAAGGAGGTATGCCTGTACAAAATAGAACACGTGGGCAACTCCTCATTAGCCAGCCTCAGGAAAGAAATGGACAAACTACTGTAGCAGAAACATCATCCCATTTTATTTTAAAAATAATTTCTGGAATGTTCTTATAACTTAATTCTTTTTTAAAGATCATTTCTACTTTTAA